ATTTCTAGACATTCCCTGCTTATGGACTGAAACACATCATGTACATGGAAATCACTACATAATTAAATAGTCTATGAATCTATGATTTTATAATGCAGAAGTGTAACAAATCTGAAACCCCCTCCCCATATCCTAGGATAGAGATTTTGATAACATCCCTTTAACAGCTCAGCATGACCAAAGAAATGTCTTAGACTTAAGGTGAAAATGACTGGTACATAAGTGGGTACTAAAGACTTAATAACAACTTACCATGGGACCTTTGATCTTCCTCTTGTCAAGAATTTCTTTCTTCCATGTTGGCATGGAGCGTAGTTTTTCACGTATTTTCTGCTCTTCAAGATCTGTTTTTGCAAGCCTTTTGGTTTCCTTTTCTAAAGTCATTCTGAATGAAAGAAAGAAATGATCAATATTAAATATTCACAAAATAAGATTAGAAAGTGCGTTTCTTCTATATTGTATTCAGAAGGCACGGAGTGATAGTTATTTCCTAAATTTTTCTACAATATTTACTATATTTTTACCAGGTAACAAGATTTTGTTGGAATACAGAGTCAAAATGGAATGTCCCAAAGTCAAGAGTTGAATCAGTTTGTAGACGGCTGGGGAGAGAGGTCACAAAACAAAAATAGAATTGTATGCGACTGTGTAGGTGGTTTTACTCAATTTTATTTTGTCTTTAAAATACAAATTTTATTTTACCAAATTATTTCTCTAATTGTAATAATACGTTTTTAAGATCATTATATAGGTACATTTATCTGCTGTGTTAATGATCGCAGTGAATTAATGTAAATGTATTATTTTCACTGATAAGCAAAATTCGCTAAATTAAATCCACATAAACATATAAAATAACAATAGAACTCATTGTTTTTCTGCCAAATTCGTTAACTTAAAACCTAGTGAAAAGACTCAAAAATCAAAATAGTGAAAAATAAATGCCAGTGAAATCTCTGACTGGCTTAGAGGGCACACTGCTAACAATAACGGGTATTTGTGTTACCGGGTAATCTTATTACCACCCCCCCAATACAAATTTGGAGGACACTTAGTGATTTAATGTACAATGAATCTTTTTGCAACAAATATCTATTCCAGTCAAATGAAAAGTCACTTGGGATTTCATTGTCACGATAAAAGTAAAATTTCAACTAATTAATCAATTTCAGTCAAAATTTGAACAAAAACAGAATGCATAATTGCAATTGGACATATAGTGATATATCATGACATCCAGGTTAAAATCACTGGGAATATGCACTGTAAATTCATAATTCCGTGACAGACAAATCTTTGCAAATTCCATGTGCATGGGAAAATTACCAAATATGTTACATATCAGGAATTTACATTTTTAAGGAATCTCTATGAAAACGCCCATAAATAATGAAATTCCAACTTGAACAAAAGTACAATGGAGATTTATCTGTATGAGTAAGTATGTACTTGAATGGGTAGCATGGCAATGATTCATTTGAAATTATGGTAAAAAAGAACTATCATTGTAAATGTCTGTATTTATACATGTTTTATTGCTAGAAGTAGTTCTATGCTACAAATAAACAAATATCTGGTGAAATAGGATATATTTAAAGTGAAGTTGTATGAAAGGTGAGCAAGTGGGGAAACTGATGATGTCATTAAAAATAAAACTTACTATTCCAGCTTTATACCTGCCACGCCAAACTAAACGTACTGCTGTTATTTAATCAGACAAGACTATTTCGACATTACAGGTCGCGAACTCTGAATCTGCCAGGGGTACAATATTTAAATCTTAAACTTGTGTGGGTATGCCTATTTATGGTAATGATATCCGGTACGGCACAATAGAAAGGTAACGGGCACACTAAGTCTATAAACAATATCACCACACCCAACGCGTGCGTGCGAGCAGCGAAGACTGATGCAGAAAATACCGTGTTGTAAAATAAATTGTAAAATCCCATATTTATAATAAGCATATAAATACATAAACACTGGATATTGTATTAGACTGTCAGAAAACGCAATTGCAATCAAAACACTGTATCTTGTTTATCAAACAATCAGAAAAAAAAAACGTTATCTCCATCAAATCAAAATGTACCGTACCTGCTCTGAAACTCGGATGATGGTTTCTCTGCGCTAAGTTCCTTGCTTTCAGACGGCGGAGGGGTCAGTGGTCGGACAACCTGTTTCAATTGCTTCCGGACAGCTGCGTAATTCGTCCCGGAGGAAGAATCCCTGCGATCTCGGCTAACGTCAGACAAAACATCCGGCGACGAAGCTCTCGAGTTGGATTCAGACGCTGTGTCCGATGCAGCAACAGGCTGAATAGCGTCGCCGTCAAAGCCGTTACACTCGGTCATATTTGTCGCTGGTGAAGTGAAATTAAGTACACTTATTTATCGAACAGAGTATTCCGGAATACTTCCCAATTACTGACTCATGATTTTCGACAGAAATACGATAATCCAACCTTGTTTGCGATGACAAATGCGATGTTTTCATCAACCGTAACACTACGACATGATTGCTATCTCTCTATCCTTTCAACTATTTTGAGAGGCCTCGTTCTCGTGCCTTTTATATCATGACGTAAGTTGCTATTTTTAGCATCATTTGGGCACGAATGACTACGAGGGCGCTTTTCTAGAAAAAAAAGAAAGAAAAACTTGATAGGACAAATCCATTTGTTGAAAAGGGGTAGCGAGCAATGATCTAAGAGGGACAATAATGTCAATGGTTTTTGTCTTTAGGATGGATTCCGAGGACCAATTTCAAACTAAAGTCCCTCAAACATAGCTGCTGTTTTGGAGCACAGCACTTATTATGTTCATCTTCTATAGAAAGAATAATGTCAATAAAGTTATCTTATCTTATCTTATTATTTCAAAAAACTAAGAATGGATAGCAATGAATAGCATTTTTGGAACATACAATAATTGGTTATGTTTGTGTGAACTCATTCAATATCACTTCTATTAAAAGGCGGTGGTTGTCGCGCTGCGCATGTGCTGCTAAACATTGATTTTCCCACAATCCAATGCGTTCCTATAATGAAAATCG